ATAGGGCGGCGTCACCAGACCCGATCGCCCACAGCTTCAATGTTTAAAAGCAGAAGAGGCGGAGGAGGGGGAGAAGGTTGAGGAGAGAGTGAGCGAGGGAGTGGGCGAGGTAGAGAGGAGGAGGAGGGGGCGGAGGCGGCGAAGAAGGATGGATAAGGAGGTGAAGTGAGAGGATGGGAGGAGGATAAGGAGAAGTAGGAGGAGGAGGAGGAGGAGGAGGAGGAGAGGAGGAAGGAGTAAAGGGAGGAGAAAGAGGCGGAGCGGAGGGTCGGAGGAGGCGGAGGAGGAGGAGGAGGAGGAGGAGGAGGGAGGAGGTTTGAAGAGGATGGAGGAGGTTGGAGGAGGATGTGAGGAGGAGCGGAGGAGGGAGGGAAGTTGGAGGACGGGGGCAGGATTTTTTTGGATTTGCGCAACTGATTCAGCAATTAGCTGGTCAGGTGAATGGCGGCGCTCGCAGCAATAGATTATAGCATCGGCACCAAGGGAAAAGTAGCCCAGGTGGGCGGAACATACAGCACAGTGCTGCACGCAGTAGGTCTGGAGGCAGCATCAACGGACGGTCCTTCGTTAGTGCTGTCCCTTCGTCTGCTTCAGCAACTTGCTGCGGAGCGCGACCAGCCTCTAGCAAATGCCGGTACGGAGCTCGACAGGACAGGGCTCACGTAGGTACCTGAGGGGAAGTTACCTTCACGCGCTCAGGACGGTTATCTTGTCGGACCCTGGGGAGAGGGAGTCCCAAATGGCTCACACCGTGAACATGCCGTGAACATGCCAAACATCCCACCCTGAACATGCCAGAAGATGCCTGAACACACGCACGGCTACCTGCATGTGATCGCAGAGAGCGCATCAATGGACGACGGTTGCGGCCAGTGGCGGGACACTGGCCAGTCTGCATCATGATGACAGAACTTGCGGCTGGGCAGCGAGATATGCACGTGCGGGCGGGCGCGCCCGAGTCCGGCGGTACGGGTGCCAGATTAACTCCGCCTGAGCTCTCTGGGTCCGTTGAAAGCTGCAACTGCCGACTTCGTCAGCCCGAGAGGCGGGCGTCGGGCAGCTTCGGGGAACCCATCCAAGTAGCGCGGAAGCGGGGCCGTTGCGGCCACCAGGTTGAGCGGCAGCGGCGGCCGCGGGGGGTACGGCAGCAGGCGGGCAGAGAGGGAGCAGTTGAGGAGCTCTACTAAACAGGTGCTCACTTAGTTTGCCCGAGGAGAAGGCTACCTTCGCACCCATCGAAGCGTGCGGGGCCAAGGGCACGGGCGAGAAACGCGGCGCGACGGGCTCCTGGCGACCATCCCATTTTCACGCAGAACCTGTCGACATGGGGGCCGAGGCTCAAGAGGAAGATCGGCACGCTCAAGCACGACATCGTGGTCTTCCCCGAGACGCACGCCGGGGCGGGCGGCACGAACGACATCTTGGAGCACCTGGATTTCAAGGGCTGGAAGGCAGTGGCGTCGCCTTCGCGAGCCCACCAGTGCAGCAAGCTGGCGGGAGGCAATGGCTTGGCGGCCCGTGCCCATCTTTCAGTGACATGATTGCGCGACCTAGCCGCCAAGAATGAGCAGATGGTCGGGCTGAGGGTTCTTGACGAGAAGGAGTGAAGTCCTGGGCCCATCGACTTCCAGGACATTTGTGGAATTCCTGGGCGGATGTGGGGATACACAAATACCTTTGTTACCAGTGCTAGACATGGTACAGACACTGAGAGAGAGAAGGCGAGACAGAGGAAGAGAGCGGGAGAGAGAGAGAGAGAGACAAAGAGAGAGAGACAGAGAGAGAGGAGTTCGTCACATTTTTTCATCAAATTCCTGTGCCGAAGTGGGAATACGCAAAGGCATCAGTTGCATATGACCCGTAGGGTACATGGTACACATGATCATGGTACGTACGCACAAGATGGTTGATCACATCTTTAGGGCAAATTCCTGAGGGATGTGGGAATACACAAGAGAGAGAGAGACGATATGGTTTTCCCGATGGTTGTCTCGATGGTTGTCCCGATGGTTGTCCTGATGATCGTGGTTGTCCCGATCGTCGTCCCCATGGTTGTCCCGATAGTTGTCCTGATGGTTATGGTTGTCCCGATCGTTGTCCACATGATTGTCCCGCTGGTTGTCCCGATGGTTGTTCGGATGGTTGTCCCGATGGTTGTCCCGATGGTTGTCGCGATGCTGCCATACTTTCTTTTTCTAGGCGAGGTAGGCCAAAAGGGCGATCACCACGCCTCAAGCATGCCTGCACTCCAGAACACCCACCTCCAACCTCCCAACATCATCCGAACCTCCCCAGGACGATCTAAGCGACAGTCTGCTTCATGATCTGCAACCTGCGTCTGGTCATCGAGACATGCACACAGACGGCTCGCCAGAGTCCGAGGGCTCGGGTGTTATATGAACTCCGCCTGAGCTCTCTGGGTCCGCTGGAGGGACTGGGAACATCTCCTCAGCTGGGTGAAGGGGCACTGCGTACGTGTCAACACAACATCTCGCTGCTGCTTGATACGGTCTCCTGCAGCCGTGTGTCGGTCTCGGCTGCGCGCTTGATGCCCCTCTTATGCGAGGGCTTTCTGACTCTCTGAGCGGCCGTCCTACCCGCGAGCAGCACGAACCATCGCCACGAGAAAGCATGCTCCCTCTCCTGGGTGATCTCGAGCACGTCGCTCCCGGAAAAGGGGGGACGCGGGGCGAAAGGGGCAGGGGCGTAGGGGGGGGGGGGGGGCAGGGCAGGCAGGGAGGGCGCCCTTCCGCGCCCCGCCGCGGCCCGCCGACCGCCCCTCCGCCCCTCCCCCCGCCCTGGGCGCGTGGCCGCTCCCGCTCGCAGGAGCACCGACGGCTGCTGACGAGGACCGCCGAAGACCGACGAGGACCGACGACGGAGGTCAACGACGAGCGCGACGAGGGCGACGGCGGCGACGCACGACCACGACCACAACGACGAGCGTCGGCGAACGGCGACCACGAATATGTCGATGGACGACGAGCGTCGACGGACGACGACGACACCATTGGACGACGATGGCGACGACGAAGGTTGACGTCGACGACGACGACGACGACGACAAATATCGACGACGACGAATGCCGGCGACGACGACGACGACGATGATCGCGACGACGACGACGACGACGATGGCGAATTTCGACGACGACGACGACGTTGACGTTGACGACAGCGACAACGACGACGACGACGACGACGACGATGACGACAACGACGACTGTGGACGACGACGGCGAATGACGACGAATGTCGACGACGACGACGACGATGACGACGAATGTCGACGACTAAGACGGCGACGACGACGGCTGCGGCGACGACAGCGTCGACGACGAGGAACGTCGAGGACGGCGTTCAACAGCGAAATGCTCTCCTGCTGCTGCTGTTGCTCATTGTCTTTCTCCTCCTCGCTCTCTTCTGGAGGCCCCTCGAAGCACCTGGACGCGGCCCCCGAATCCCCCCCCTGCAAGACATGCCGCATGCAGCCGACGCCGGCCCGCCTCTTGGTAACGTGACCGCCCCTGGTGCATCTGGGCGCCGGGGAAAACACGGCCGCAGGCAGGCGATTCGCTGCCCTGCCTTTTGCACAGGGGCCGCACAGCAGCCCCAGAGGCCGCGGATTGATTCTTTTCAGGAGGGAAACAAACACACAGACACAATAAATCGTCGATTCCCCGGTAAATATGGGAAAATATGGGAAGTGGGGGGGAAGACAAAAACCCCGAAAATATTTGAAAATAGAGGGAATCCTCCTATTTGTGTGTATTTATTTGTGTGTCCTGGGGCCCCTTCATCTTTTGCGCGGTTGTAAAATCTCGCTCTGGTTGCAAAAAAACAACTATCTGGTTGCAAAAAAACGCCGGATCGAGTCGTAAAAAAAACCGCCTGGTTGGAGAAAGCCTCAACGGAGGAGTTTTCTGGTTGTGAAAACCCGCTTCGCGGTTGGAAATTGTCGCCTTGGTGGTGGAAGGCCTTAGTCTCTCTCTCCCCCCCCCCCTTTCGGTAGAACCGGCGATTGTCGAAGGACGCCTCTCTTGCAGAGTCGGGCCAGACCTGTCGACGTGCGGCCCCAGTGACATCGGGCCGTGAGCGCCGCTGGGCCTGAGCCTGGCCATGGCGCCCCCCCCTAGAGATCCCCAGCGATTCCTAGAGATGCCCAAAGGTTCCTGGAAATTCTTAGAGATTCCTAGAAATTACCAGAGATTTCTAAAGATTCTTAGAGATTTTTGAAGGTTCCTAACTATTCAGATATTCCCAGAGATTCCTAGAGATTCTTAGAGATCCCCAGAAATTCCTTGAGATTCCCAGACATGCCCCTCCCGGTCGTCCGCCCCGACTCCCGCACGCCCCTCGCGAAGTCTGCCCCTCGGCCTCCCGCGGCCGGCGGAGGGCCCGCGGAGAGCCAACGGCGGCCCCTCCGCCAGGGCCCAGATGCGCTCGCCATCGGTCCCTGGGCCCCTCCCACCTCCTCTCCTCCTCCTCCTCCTCCTCCCTCCCCCCTCCTCCTCCTCCTCCTCCTCCTCCTCCTCCTCCTTCCTCCTCCTCCTCCTCCTCCTCCTCCTCCTCCTACTCCTCCTCCTCCTCCTCCTCCTCCCTCCCCCATCCTCCCCTCCCCCATACTCCTCCTCCTCCTCTCCTCCTCCTCCTCCTCCTCCTCCCCTCCTCCTCCTCCTCCTCCTCCTCCCCTCCTCCTCCTCTACTCCTCCTCCTCCTCCTCCTCTCCTCCCTCTCCCCATCCTCCTCCTCCCCCCCTCCCCACTCCCTCCCCATTCCTCCTCCTCTTCCCCCTCCCATCCATCCTCCTCCTCCCTCCCCCATACGCTCCTCCTCCTCCTCCTCCTCCTCCTCCTCCTCCTCCTCCTTCTCCTCCTCCTCCTCCTCCTCCCGCCTCCTCCTCCTCCTCCTCCTCCTCCTCCTCCCAGAGTCCATCCTGATCTGCGTTCCGACGCGAATCCTGCCCTGGCGACGAGACTCCCCTTCCCGGAGGCACCCCCTCGACGCGAGGACGGAGCGCGCCAGGGCGTGCCGCCGTTGTCTCGGCCGCGGGCTCCCCGCCGGCACTGCCTGCAGCGGCGGGGCGGCACCGGCGCAGCGTGTCCTTCGCGGCCGGCGCCGGGCTTTCACTCTGCTGCGCGCAGGCGGGGCCGCCGGCCTCTTCGCTCGGCTGCTTGTCCGCGGCGCCTCCCGGCAGCGAGCCGCCGCTCCGCGTGGAGTCCTCTCGAGGGCGCGGAGGCCCCTGTGAAGCGACAAGGCGAGAAGCCACGAGAGCGCACGGAGGCTTTGAGGAAGAAGAAGCGGCATGCAGTGGAGACCCATGCCAAGAGACGCCCTGCTTGCCTCCAGGATGCCCCGGGGTTTCTTGGGTTTCGATGGTCTTGCTATGGAACAGCGTGGCGTTCCCACACCAAGAACCAATGGACGTCCTGGGATCTCTGGGTTGGGTTTCTTGTGGAAGGTTTCTTGTGGACTGGCCTCCTTTGCAACCCATGACCATACACTTTCGGGGCTCCGCGCGGATTTCGTGATTCGGCGCTGGGCCCCCCCCTGGCGGCGGCCGACCCAAGAGGTCGGCGCGGAGCTCCGAACGTTTCCGCCCAGACAGTTTTTTCTGTTCCCGCCTTTGGATGCGGCGACACGCCACGACGGCATACTGACGCGTGAGCTGTGGTGCGACCCAGCCTCCCGAGGGGCCTCGTGGGGAGACTCCGCGGCCATCCGGGGTCCGCCTCGTGGCGGACCCCGGGCCCGTCGGAGGCACGGTGGAGGTCATCTCGAGCCGACTTGGGCCCTGCAGCGACCGCCGCCTTAGAGGCCCTCGGAAGCGCTGCAAGGAGGAGTCGGGCCTGTCCCTCCACAGGAGGAGTATTCAGAAATAGTCAGAAGATAGTTGGGGACGTTTTTTTGTGTGAGTATGTCAGAGCATGTTTGAATATGTTTGGGTGTATCTTTGATTTTCAGTCCCAAATCCTCCTGCAGGGGGGCCCGACCTAACGCTACGGCTCCATCTTTGAGCCGCCGATGGCCCTCCTGGACGCACCAAGCGCCTCGCGGGGCCACGCCCGGGAGCTCGGGCAGGGGGCGAGGGGGGGGGGGGGGCCCGGCAGTGCAGAGGGGGGGGGTCACCACCAGGGGGGTGTCGCTTGCTCCTCGAGGAGACGTTCCAGGCCTCGCCGATCCTCAGTCCTCACTCCTCCCAGATCCTGGGATGAAGTCGGGCGTGTCCCTCTACAGGAGGACTGTTCAAAGACAGTCCAACAAATAGTCTGGGGAGGATCTTGTTTTTTATGATGTTTGACCATTTTGGAGCATTTTGGGGGGTATGTTCTATTTGTCGTCCAAAATAGAATGCCCCTGTAGGGGGACATCCCCAACTTAATCTGAGGATATCAGGAGGAGGTGTTGACCCCCCCCAATACTGGTGAAACCGCCTAGCTCTGCCCGAGGGGAGCTGTAAGAGAGAAGCTGCCGCCTACGCCAACAGGACTGCTGGGACTCACGCTCATCCGCAGTTCTCCCCAGTCGCCGTCCTTTCTTGCCGTTTCTCCTCCCCCCCCTCCCAGAGGAGCTGGAAGTCCGAACCGCCTGGTGATCCCCGATGGGGACCCGCCGGATTTTGCACGTATGGCAGTGCACCGCTGCGAAGGGAAAAAAGCGTGTGGCTCAGTCCGAGCTGGGACCACGAGGCGGACCTTTGTAAAGCATCCATCGTCATTGGCCAGCTGTTGCGGTGCGTCGGCTTCCACGGCTGCGCCTCGCGGCGCCGCGCCCCTGGCGAGCCGGGCGCGACCGCGACTGCGATCCGAGCGCGAGCGTGCTTCTTTTTCTCGGCGGTGAGCCATCGACGTCCAACCTGCCCACCCAGTCTTGGGGCACTCTCCTCCTAGCTGCTTCGCTTTCATTGGCTCAGGGGACGGGAGGAGGAGGAGGAGGAGGAAGAGGAGGAAGAGGGTCACCATCCGCACTCCCCCTTCTCAGCCCTGCCCCCTTCCTCGCTCCCTGCTCCTCCCTCGGGCATGCACCCATCGCTCTTCGAAGCCCTGTTCGCACGATTCGTTGCAGACCGATTGGGCCTCGTGCCTCCGCCTGATTTGCCTCGGGAGGTTAGCTGCAGCGGGGCTAGGTCATCGAGTCACCAAGGGTCCGTTTCTGTCGTTGCTGGGTCGCCGAGGTGCCAACTCTCACCCGAACGGAACCGCCTTCGGGTTCCAGAGCGTGGCGCAGAAGATCACAGCACATGCTTTGAATGAGGATGACGGCGACGACGACGACGACGACGACGAGGAGGAGGAGGAGGAGGAGGAGGAAAATCAATCGCAATTTGACGTGGTGGAGGAGGAGGAGGAGGAGGAGGAAGAAGAGCAGTCATCATTTGACGGCAGCGGCTAATTATGGCACGAATTTGTGTCCATGCCCTGCGGCAGACCATCCCCCCCTTATGTTTGGGCCAGTCATTGGAAGGAAGGGCTTCGCCTGCTGCCGCCAGCCCCCCTTAGATTGCTTGCGTGGCCACGCCTGGTTGGTGGGTAGGTTGGCTTTTTTGTATCGCCTGGCTGGCTGGCAACTCGTGGCAAGGGGGAGGAGGGAGCTTGAGGAGGGAGAGTAGGAGGAAGCGGATTGCGAAGAGCAGGAAGAGGAAGAGGAAGAAGGGGAGAAGGAGGAGCGGGAGGGGGAAGTGGAGGGGGACGGTGATGATCCGGGGGTACGGTCGGACCGAGGCATAAGATCGAGGTCGGCTCGGGGAGGGTCACCTAGTGCTCCTCGTGTTTGTTGGACGTTGTTGTGCATCCTGGGGGAGGGTACCCTTGGATGTTCTGTGTGTTTTGGCCGACGGGGGGTCTCGTGTTCTTGAGGGATGTTCTTCTGGCCAAGGTCCGACTGTATGTTGGTTGGTGTTCGTGTCGCCTGGCTGGCGCGGGACGGCTTGTCTAAGCTGATGAGCGACAGTTGGTTTGGGCTGTTTGCTGGTTGACTGGATGCGCGCGTCTGTAATGATTGATGTGGTCAGTATCCTTTATCCGACCCCCATCCCTATCCTCATCCGGTTCGAGACCCCCACCAACTTACCACCCCAGTTGGGAATACACCCCTCGAAACCCGCAGGGAACGGCCTATACCCCTATCTAGGGGGGGCAAATCGGCCAGTGGGGCCCAGGCCACGCCGCTGGGGATGGGGATCGAGATGGGGATCGATTAAACGATACTCATGTGGGGCGGTGTCCTCGGGAGCGTGCTTCCACTGCAGTGATCAAGGTTTCGAGGCTCAGGGAGCGCGCAATCCTAACTGTGTTTGGGCAGTCGTGGCCTTGAGCCCCGAGCCGAGTCCTCGGCAAACGACAGGGGGGGAGGGGCCGAAACGCGCTCACGGAAACACACCCCACTGCAGAACATTGCATTTCTTCTGCTCTGGGGAGGGGGATGCCGCTTTGGGGCAGCCTCCGCGGGGTGTGGGCTCGTAGCCTCGGGAGCGCTGGTGCGTAGTAGGAGATACTGCGGCTCTGGGACGCAGACGTGGCGGAATCTACTCAGGGCTGCGTCTTCGGGAGCGCGAAGCTGTCGTTGTCTTTGGTGGACCGTGGTTTGGGGAGCGTGAATCTGCTGTAGAGACTGAGGATTGTTTTCGGGAGCGACAGCGCGCGTAGTAGTTTACTCGGGGATGTGGCTCCGAGTGTTCAAACTTGTTGAAACTTACAGGAACAGGAAGTTCTGTGGCCTGGGTAGCGCCAGCCTGGTGTGATATTTGCCATGGGGTGTGAATCGAGAAGCGCAAGTCTGGTGTAATGAGTACGGGACGGTGACCTCAGGAGCGCCACTGCGCAGTACGTTACAAGGGGTTGCGGCGTCGGGGACGCAGGAATGGTGGAAGTCATGACGGAGCTCAGTATCGGAGGCGCGAGCCCAACTTGTGTAATGGGCCGTGGCTTTGGGGGGCGCGACGTTGGGCTGGCGTGTAAAGGAGAAGGGCCTCGGAAACGCGAGAGTGGTGCACTCTGTTATGGATGTTGGCTTCGGGGGCGCAACCTTGCTGTGGCGTGCAAAGGATTGCCGGAGAGGGCTGCTCCGACAAGAGGGAGGAGCGGGAGGAGGAGGAGGAGGAGGAGGAGGAGGAGGAGGAGGAGGGAGGGAGGGAGGGAGGGAGGGAGGGAGGAGGAGGAGGAGGAGGGGGAGCAGGAGGAGCGCGAATCTGACTTCTGTTGCGCGGGTTTTCGGAATGGGAGCGCGGCCCTCGTACATCTTCGATGGGGGCCGTGGCTTCGGAAACGCCCGCCTGCGGCAACGCATCGGGGATTGGGAGGAGGAGGAGGAGGAGGAGGAGGAGGAGGAGGGGAGAGGAGGAGGAGGAGGAGGGGAGAGGAGGAGGAGGTTTAGGCTCAGGTGGCGCAAAGGCGAAAGTAACTTGGAGTGGGCTGCGTGCGCGAAGCTGGTGGGCTTCAGGGGGCTGTGGCCTCGGAGGCGCGAGTCCGGTGTTATTCGCTCGGGGTCGTGGCTCAGGTGACGCGAACTTGATGCACTTTGGATGGGGTTGCGTTCTCGGGAGCGCGAAGCGGGTACAGTCGGGGCGCTGAAGAAGGAACCCTTCTCGTTTGGGAGGGGCTCCGTGTTTTTTAATTGTTTTATAGTTTGCCTTCTGTTTTCCGTAGGTTTTCGATGGGACATCGAAGTTTAATTCATGGAAAAAAGGGGCCTCGTTCCTAATTTAGGGTTCCTTGGGTCAACGCCCCGACGGTACACGTTAACATGGCTTGTGATTTGGGGGGCACGAAGCTTGGCAATTTACCAGGGGCTGTAGCGGGGCGCCGAGACTTAGACATTGACAGTGGAGTGTGGATTCGGGGACGCAGGCTACATCCCAGGCCGAAAGTTGCTTCCTCTTGGACTAAGCATATGAGAACACCGGTGGATCCAATCGGATCATGTTTCGTGTGTGCGACAGTGTCTTGGATCCTATTTCTTTCTTGCGTGGATCCAATTTCCCGTGTGAAAATCAATGGATATA